ATTGTGATTGGCTTAATAAATTGAAATATTGATTTAGGTAGGATTGTATTTTTGTATATATTCATATTATATCTAATATTTGTGAGGGTTGAGGAAAAGACATACAAACCAAACAGCGGACAGCAATATTTTGTAAGGAAGATACAGAGATTGTGAAACATAGAATAATAGAAAATATATAAAAAAAGGTCCACGTCGTGTACTATATCTATATAAGTAATAAATTTATTACACTATCATAAACATATAATAATGTATATCTATCAATCATTATTAATATTTAATTATAAAGTGTTGTAAAAGTTTAGGATTATCAAACGAGATTAATTCATGAAGCTGCTAAATCCACTTTTATTAACCTGCAGAAGTTTTAGAATGCCTTGTAAGTATATAATATAGATCAATTTTTGTTGACAATATGTATTTATGTTTTTTTTTAATATCTATTTTAAAATCATAAATTCGTATTTGACTGACACAAAACACTTGTATGTCAATTTTAATTTCCGACTAGTTGTCCGGTGATTGCCGGTAAAGCGTCGTAGGTTCGCTCCCACTGTAAATGTGTTTTTATTCTAAAAATATTTTTTCTTTATGGGATTTAGAATGAAATAAAATAAATATAGTATAGTAAATGATTATATCATTATTGTAGTCTAAGACATTTGTGAACGTTATATTCGATATACCGACATTTTATCGAATATATTAAAATAAATTTTCGCGGGGAGAATTGTAGAGATTGGCTAATATTTTAAAGACAAAAGATTAGATATTTTACAGTAGAAAAAAAAAAAACTTAACTAATTCTAAAAATTCTTATACAAGGCGTCATTATTAGCATGGATATTAGTTATTAATAAATGTAATAAACACCTATAAGTTAATAACTTCCTCTAATGTGTATAAGTGAGCATTTTTCTGACGTGATTTTATTAGAAATAAACCTTAGATCACTTGACTAATAATATTCTTTTTTTGAGTTCAAGATTCGAGGTGGTTAGATTAACGAGACGTCATTATATCAGTGTTTTGAGTGCCATATACATGCATAATGTAAATCTGATGACAGTTTGATACTAAAAATGTGAACACGGCCGGCTGCACTAGCGAAGTGCAGCATATTTTATGTTTTAAATAAATTATTTATTTATTTTCATATTATTGATTGTATTCAATTTTCATATTTGAAATATTTGGCTCTATCGTCATTTTTCATTTGATTATTGTTACTTTAAATGCGATTTGGTAGCGTATGAGAAAAGCCTGGCAGGTTTGAATCTGTTCTGGCTCTAAGGTTCGTATGAGCAGATAGCTTTAACTATTTAAATCACTGATTGTTTGTATTGACAGCTTAGAAATTATATTAGCCCAGTCATAAAATTTAATTATCCCTATTCCTCTGTTATATATATTTATTAAGTCGTAAATTTTTAAAGCAACAACTTTCTCGTTTTGTGATTTTTTACTGTTATAATTTTATAAAGACATTGTTTAAAATTATTGAATAGTTTTCTAAGGTAATGTGTGTACACGATAAATAAAATATTGTGTTTGCCATGGGCACATTTTTATATGGTGACAACCATACTAAAAATTGTTTTTAAATTATCATCATGATTATAATAATCAATGCAAAAAAAGTCTAATACACTAATTACTGTATACTATAATTTTGAACGTATTCGTTCCACAGGGGAATTCCCGTAATAGGAAGTACGAGTACGAGTCATTCTTTTCCGGCATAATTTTAGAATTTTTCTTAAATGACGGTTATGTCACAACTGGAACCTCAGTTTAAAATTTTAGTGTTTACACATAGATAGAGCTACGTGGTCCAAAAGTGGTACTCAAAATTTCAAAATTGACTTACTGGTCCAATACCCTACGTATTATATGAAAAGGCTGTATTCATACATTTAAAAACTGCATTACCTATATATTCTTAGGAAACTGTAAGAAAAAAACCATACCTGCCTTTATCTCCGAAGTTTATGAAGCGCAAAATCTGAAATAAAGTGTTTTTAACTACTACCGTTTTAGAGAAATAATGAAAAAACTTCTAAAAACAAACATAGTAATGTGGTCAAGTTTTTAAACACAATTATGGCCCAATATAAGAAATTACTAATTGAAATAATAATCAATCAATAATCATTATTATTAGATGTCTATTTCGTATGAGAATGTAATAAAGGTCTTTTTCCCCGCATATTTATATATTTATGTACGGAACCCTCAGCGTGTGAGTTCAACTCGCACTTGACCGGTTTTTAAATGGTATCTGGATAATTTGATAGTTTGTCTAGCTTTAATCATTTGATTGTTAAGATTATAACACTACATCGCACACACCGTCATCAGCCTGCCATATTCGGTTTGCAATCCGAGACTCCATGTCAGTCTAGACCGCACGGTGCGTTCGATGTGCCGCTGGTTTACTAAGATCTATTGTTCTCGTGCCTTTGGGACAATGACATATTCTCCTTCGATCGCTATGTTTATCGTACCCTTAGTTTGATTGCTGCGTTGCAATATAAATTTGATATCCACATTTTAGATATTAATTATAATGTAATATTGTAGTGAATTTGTAATGCCTGAAATCGTAGAACTTTTATTTCATCTTTCATTTTAGTATGTACCAGATGGAGGCTAGTGTACCTCCAAATAAAATTTGAATTCTCTAATTCTTATCTGCTTTTAAATTTTATTCAATTATGATTATCGATGTTATATATATCGAAGGTTTCATTTCATCATCTGATTGTACACGATAATTCGAACTGTCTGTTTCAATTGTTTCATCATCCTTACCTCCGACATTCTATCCACGTTTTTTGTAATATTGTAAAGTTCATAAATATTAATAAAACATAATATGAAATTCCTTTGTTTTTCACTTTAAATGTATATGCAAAGCGCAATGTCTGAAACATTTTATGATACGAGAGATGATTTAGTAAATAGCACTTTGCTTTATGTTCTGTCCAGTATCTCTGCAGTTAAACCATTACTATTATCATCTCGAAACATTCAGGTCAGTTGTGTGGAATTGTCGCGACAAATGTCTTATCAAATGCAATGTGTTCATCATTCATTAGTTCGTTTTACTCGCATACATGTTTGACATTCTTTGTTTTATTATTCTAGTACGTATACAGTCACGAGCTTTCTCCGGTGATTACGGGTGAATTAAAATTAGTAGGTACTTTTGACAAGTGGACGTGACGAGACGAAGTCGCTAGGGCCCGACTAATAAACTTCCCAAGTGTTTGATGGTTTATGGCTGCGATATGTATGTTGAACTGTCGTATAGTTTATAGCACTCCCATGACGTTCTATATTCAAATCAGTCAACCGTTTAGGCTACGTATTGCACTAAAAATCCGGATTTACTTATGTATAGGTATATAGGTATGTACACACACTTATATATACTCGAAAAACATATTTTCTTTAACAGTCAGGTAAAAACTGAACACAAATGTGCGATGCTAGTTGAGTGTAATTTATTATTATCTGTCATTAGTCATTCATTTAGTTTTAAATTATTTGTAATTATCATAAACAAAATGTGAGCTGAATTATACGGATTTCTTTTCGAATGCAAACGTTTATCTTAAAAATAAATAAAAGAAAATATCGCCGGAGAGTTAATTGAAAATTGAATTGAGGAAATTTTTCGTATCGTACAGATTTGAACTCGTGGCAACTGGGATTGGAATTTCATCGAGTCGAGATAAATTATCATAAATCAAGTAACAATTAACTGAAGTTAACCTCTGATTACCTCATCTGGGATTACAATCCTGAATTTATATATATTGTCTATACATAAACTGTATAGCTTATAATGTACACACAATAAGTTTTTAAAGTATTTTACTTTGTTAGTACTTGTTTTTTGTATAATATATATGAGTCTGTAACACTGGTTTACTGCTACTAGTAATAACGGTTACTACGGTTACTAAATCTGTAACAAGCACTAATTTCACAACAGTCCTTATAAATTTTATTTAAAGTCATTACAATTTACTACCTACTTTTAAAGGAAAATATATCATAATATCGTATATAAAAAAATAGTCATCTCTCAAATTGTCATGTACTTGAAATAACATTTGGTCCACTTTCCATTCCGCTATAGGTACAAAGAGGGGTGCCCGTATACCCCACCCCAGGGAAACATTACGGTCGCCAAATTGCCCATGCACCCCTTTGGAGTGAGATCTCGTGTACCTATGTTGCGGTATTTTTATTTACCCATACCATGGTAATTAGCGTTTAGATTATTATTATTAAGAGTATTCATATCGAAGTAAGTAGGCATTACTTAATAATCAATATGAATAATGTAAAACAATTTTTAGAACTTTTAAATTATTATCGAATAAGTGACTTACTTTTTATTGCCATGATTGAGTTGTATTTATCATTTAAAACGATTAAACTTTCATTTAACAATACATATTATTTAAAAAATACTTATATTTTTACACAAATAATAGAGAAACAAATAATTTATAATAGAGAAAAACGCTTGTGTCTATTGTTTTTTTTCTAATAATTTTAATATGTTCGATTTAAAGTTTTTGGCATCATCTAAAATTATAATTGCGTAGATTAAAATAGTATTTGATATTTAAATTGAATGTTACTGCATTGTCCTTTACAAAACTACTTTTTATATTTGAAATTCTGAAAATTGATATGTACGTTCTCATTAAATGGGCTAACTTAAAATCCGTTTTTTTTTTTGCCATATCGAGGCGGGCGGCCAATTGAACTGTTGCTTCTACAGACATTTCGAAATGATTAATCACTGAATTCCCTACCTTAAAGAGCCTGTTCAGACTAGGTAATTTTAACTGCCAATGCCTTCTTGTGCATTATGCAATGCAATTATATGTTTTCTGTTTAGATCGATGCAGTAGTACATTTTTTTCACGATGTCCGTAGAGCCGTAGTAATGTCTTTGTTTTTTTTTTTTTCAGATTTGAAGTGTCGGTAGAGATGGTGGAGTGAGCGAGGCGAGATGTTACCGTGTGTGGTATCCGTGCTGCTGCTAGGGGCCTCGCTCTTGGATGCTCTCGATATATGTAAGTACTGGCTATTTCCTGTCCGCAAATTATGTGTCTTGTATAACCTACTCGTGTTTCAATATTTATTGAAATATATTCAGTTGTTTAAGTATGATTGAGTAATAAACATAATTATAATGTTACATATTATAATATTATTGTGTAAAAAATTTGTTTCTCGTTGATTGTTATTTCACCTATAGAATCGCCTAAACACCATCTATTTATCATTTGTCTACGCCAAATACTCAGGCTTTACTTCTTCTGTTGTAATCTTAATATAGAAGATTAAATGTGTTAGATATATGCGTATAAATAAATTAACTGATTATAGATGTGATGTATTTTGCTTGTCTCTCTCGTTTGAAGGATGGAGGTGCTCATGCGATTTCTCTGTAGTATTATATACAGGTGTATAGAGATACGAATAATACTGATATTTATTTGAATAATCTTCATAAGAATCATTTAATGGTAATTTTTAAAATACTACCAACTCGTAGAAAATATAAATAAATACAATTTAAAAGTTTATTTTTTTCTCATAAAAATACAAGTTAATTAAAAAGCGTCTTTTTAGGAAATAATAGGCTATATTGAGTTTATATTTACAATATAATCTATCTGTAGACTTAATGTTTCATTCCAATCCGTGTAGTAGTTTTTGCGTGAATGAATAACAAACATCCATGCATACATACTCATAAACTTTCGCTTTTATAAAAGTAATAAGTTTAATAAAGACTAGCTTTTCCCGCGTGAATCAGTATAAAATTATCCTATGACCTAAGTTAAGATATAACCGATACCTGTACTAAAATTAATTTATATCTATATATACATACATATCGTTTACGCCTGACTCCCTTTAGGCACAAGTAATGGAACGCCAAATATTTCAATTCGGACAAACCTCTTTCGCTTCTTCCATATTCATCAATCTTTTCATACACGCTCACCGGTTACGGGTACTTTTAATTTGACTCTTCTTCAACACGTAGCTTATTTGGTCGACATATGTCTGTCTAGGACCCTACTGGCATCGCCATTCATTCTTACTCGGTAAATCTCTTTCGTAATTCTTCTTTCATCCATTTTGCCCAAATGTCCAACCTCTCCAAACCAACGCAACATTGCTTTTTCGATTTTTGTGACTAAATTGTCTTTCAGTCCACAGTTTTCTTTCTTAATTTATATCCGTTTAGTATTTATTTGCATGATAGTGCAACAAATATCCATCCGTACATACTGACAAACATGCGTGTTTATAAAAGTAGTAGGATTAATAAGGATAGAGTAGTATTTGAATTATATTTAGATATGTCTAATTATATTATATCACTGGCATACCATCATATATCATATCTACAATTAATGCATAATTTTCTGAGTACATCTAGCGTCGTACGTCGAACATGCTATACAATTATAAGTTAATTGTTCTGTATGAGACTTCAGGTAATAATCTATTGCCGACACTGTTACGTACACTCACACACCGCTGGTATACGACGTTAGTCATTATAAACCTGATAGTTTTGTGCTTCTTGTTAATTTAATTTCTTATCACTGTATTTAAATAAATAAATAGTCCACTACTAGTGGGTATATTAAGATAAAACATACACCCGATTTTAAATCCCACCATCAAGAATACAACTGTGAAAAGTATGTCCAATTTGCTGCAGAAATTTTTGTGTGATGCCGGAACAAACAAACATTTTAACAGTTATTGTTTTTCTTCTATTGCTCTTATATCCTTTATAACATTTTCTTAAATATCTCCTAAATCAGTACATGGTCTTGTTATAATTTTATTTAAACTTCTCAACTAATATTATAAGGAGGAAACATTTGTTTTTTTTTTTTTATTTATAAGGAGAAAACATTTGTTTTTTTTTTTTATTTGTAATGGATAAACTCAAAAAATACTTAACGGAATTTAAAAATCCAATCACTTATAACTACTTTATCAGCGAATAACATGGTTTTATTTTAATTTCAAAAACAGTGCGAAACTAAAGTGGGTTCTTAGCTAAGCTCGTATGTAATCTATGATTAGCCATTGTAGCTAATACGAGGTCTGTCTGGAAAGTTCGTATAAAAGTGTTCTGGAATGCGAGAAAGAGGAGTGGGGAGGCCAGGTAAGCGCAGGACCCCTTCCTTATGTCCCTAACAATGCTTCAGTTCTGGTCTGACCGCCGTGCGGTGCGAACTGGCTTGTCACGCCATCTGTGAAGTTACCTCTTAACGAAACCCCGTCGGCATGGAGCCCGCTTCCGTTGAAGAGCAGCGCGTCGTAATCAAGTTTCTCTCGAAACTCGGCAAGAATGGCCGTGAAAGCAAAGAGTGGAAGACATCCGGGGAACCACGAACAAAAAAATCAAGAAAATCCCGCTCAAATGTCAAGACAATGTTGATTGTTTTTTTCGATGTTCGGGGGATTGTCCATCAAGAATTCGTCCCTCCAGGCCAGACAGTTGATGGAAAATTCTACGTCGATGTGCTCAGACGCCTCAAAGCTCGTGTGGCACGAGTTCGTCCAGAATTGGCGCGAGAGGGGCGTTGGATTCTTCACCACGACAATGCCCCTGCCCACACCTCTCTTGTTGTCCGTGAGTTTTTGAGTAAAAATTCCATTACGGTGACCGAACACCCCCCCCCTATTCGCCGGATTTGGCCCCGTGTGACTTCTTCTTGTTCCCAAAAACCAAATTGGTACTTCGGGGGCGGCATTTGGGGGACATAAATGAGATAAAAAAAGCTACGACGGGGCAGCTGAGAAACCTACAACCAGAGGACTTTCAAGGAGCCTTCTCACAGTGGAAACGGCGTTGGCACAAGTGCATTATGTCACAGGGGGAGTACTTTGAAGGGGATAAAATTGATTTACCTGAATAATTGTAAAATAAAATTTTTAAAAAACTTTTATACGTACTTTCCGGACAAACCTCGTATATCAAATGGCATTAAAAATGCAGCAGCATTAATCGTGTGAAAACTTATATGGGATCATATCAAATGTAAAACGAATTATCACGAATGGGGATATTAAAAAATTGACGAATTCAATCGTAACGCTATTATTGGTTGTGAAGTACAATCTACTTTTAGACATACGATCCCGAGTTCTAGATTCAAATATTTTCACTCTAATTTGCCTCTGAAATCGTCTCGAGTTTCATCGGTATTTTTTTATCACTAAAGTCGTTGTTTTTTTTTTATGGAGGATAATACTGGGCATAATCGATATCATTAGCATCCTAATATAGGGAGTGCTTTTTTAATGGGCAAAAATGGAATGGTAACTCCGCCTGCGCTATCAGTACACGCTAGCGGGGAACCAGTGAGAGATGATAGGTGAGGATGAAAGCAGGTCAATTGACCTATCCTGATGAATTAAACACGAATAACCACGATGGTTTCGGTGAAACTGAAAATTTTTACCAAAGAAATATCTTAAAAAACATAAAAAAAATTGAGCTTTATATACGAGTACTGAAACGGTGTATTCACTTGTTCAGTTAGTATAAGAGACACAATTTTTTTGTCATTTTTGAGTTTTTAATTAACAAGATTTTTGTCCTAATATAGATATAATACATCCTAGTACGTAAGTACTGCTAACGATTTCGAATTCTACTTATTGACTTTGTAATACTTATTAAAATCGATATCAAGACTACCACTATCTCGACACTGCTATATTTAACCCATTTAGTAATATAGGTACTATCCCCTGGCGGTCTAAATTACTCAACGGCCTTCGCTAGTTTAATTACGCCCCGCATTCGGGCCAAATTTCACTACAGAGTACAGATGCTGTGGCTGTAACTGGGCAGTTCTATAATATCGATTTACATAGGTACCTTTACCATTACAATATATCAATTATTAGATTACTTTTCTAAATTTCTTCACTAATAATATATGAGTTTGTTTGTTATCTCATAGCGTTGTAATTGTAGTATTTGGTATGGAGGAGGACAAAGGCTACCCCGGTCAATAAATATGTCCCCAGTCGCGTGGACACGGCAGTCATTTATGTTTGGAAAAATGTGGGCAGCTTTTTTCGGGTTTATCGTAATCCAATATTATAAATGTGATAAATGAGATGATAATAAATTAAAGAAGTGATGCGATTATTGTTGTTTCTGTATAGGATTTGCCCATATGCATTAGGACAAAACGCATCGTTTGGTTCATCTATATACCTACCGAATTTCATTAAAATGCAGTCAACCGTCTAAGCGTGATTTATTAACAAACTTCTATGAAAACTTCCACTTTTATATATTAGTAAGTATCACGAAATTTTAGAGTATCACGGTTTCATTGTAATTTAATATTTTGTTCCACGAAACGGTGACTTCAAACGCGGCAAAATTAATATGCGACCAATAGGGAAGTAAAACTTATCGATTGCAAGAAGGTTTCTGAAATAACCAAGATATCGCGTATCATGTACAAAAATAAAATCATCTTAAAATATAATGGAACTTCAAAACGAAATTATAAATAGTAGCCACATTTTGAATTCTTTTATGATTAAGGTTTTATGGCAATACAAATTAGTTAGTTTACGTTTCATGTGATAACATTTTATTAGTTTAGTAGCAAAGGTTGAAAAAACATTTCCATACTACTTTTATATCCACGACTACGTCTCCGTGACAGGGATATGTTGATGGGCTGGAATAAAAATAATTTATGCCCTCTGTCCCAAATATTATATACCGAATTTCATGACGATTCGTTAACCCGTCAACTAGGCAAGAGGTAGAGACAAACTCATTTTCACATTTGTAATTAATGATTTCGGACGATGTGAGGGAAGGTTATTAAGTTTCATAAATACTATCGTTATGTTTGAATCGTTATTATTATAGTTTTCAGTATACATGTATGTATCCTACGTACATTAATTGGTAGTTCGATAGTCAATGCAATTAACAGATACAGGGAAGTTGTTACAATATTTAATCAATGTAATATACAGTAATATAAACAGGAATAAA